GGAGCCAGTAGCTGGTAACATTGGTGTTCCCGGTGTCTAGTTTTACATGAGAAAAAAATATTAAAACGGGTTGCACCAAACAAACTACAGTAGTTTTTAAGTGGAGAATGTTACTAAATATTTACACCAATCAACGGCCAGACTTAATTGTTGTGTAGCTAATTGAGCCAAATGATAAAAACTAAGGTTAGCTACACTATATTATCTGACCCCATCTAGAATGAAACATAAACGAGGTAAGATGAAGTATGGTCTTCATATTTGGTGTTAAACTCGGTAAATACTGTTTAATAATAAGCTTTATTTGTAGAGCACCTTTCTAAAACAGAGTTTACAAAGTTCTTTACATATGCGCTTTACATTTAAATAACAGTGAGGACATATCAACCAATAAAAAAAACCATAGGACAAATTTTAAAAAAACAACAGGAAAAAATACACATTTAGTAAAAGATCACAGGAAGGTCTGTCTGTAAAAAATGTGTTTTGGGAAGTGTTTTGATGTAAATCTGAGTGTTTAATTAAAAAAATTTCACAAAAATAACACTTATGAACAACAATTATGAAACATTTTACCAGTAATATTTGAGAAAAGGATGTCAGCTGGTTAGCAGAACCAGATATTTCTCACTCAGTGTATATAAAACAAGTTATCCTGAAAGGTATATTTATTCATCTATGCTGATAAAAATAAAACAATTAAGAACTAAGGAGGGACTTTATGATCTAAATTTGTAATGGATTTATGAAGACCTGGTGACCCACTGCTGCGTGTCGCCAATCAGCATCAAACTGTTTTCCTTTGCATCTAGCATGGGAAAAGCAAAGCAGTTTTATTTACTGAATGCGATTAAGTATAAATGAAAATGCGTTAGTTCACAGCTTTTTGCTTTTTCATACAGTCCAGTATCCCTGGAACTTGTTTCCCTAACCCACAAGTACCACAATACTTAAAGTCACCAATAGACACACAGCTGATTTTTTTCAAGGAACTTCACCATTAACAATCCTGTTGCCTCTCAGACTTTTTGCTTTGCTGTTTCCCAAGCGATACTATTCACTTAAACAGTCGAATACACAGGTTAAAACATCACTTGTTCACTTGAAAAACTACTGAGATAAACCTCTGAAATAATGTGTGATGTCACCTAATTTGATTAGAATCAGAAAACTGTCTTGCTTTGTCATGATGAACTCACTGTATGGGCACTGGTGAGCCTTATCCACACTTCTCTACAAGGCTGTGATTACAGTGGGTACGGAAAGTATTCAGACCCCCTTAAATTTTTCACTCTTTGTTAGACTTTTGCAGCCATATGCTAAAATCATTTAAGTTCATTTTTTTCCTCATTAATGTACACACAGCACCCCATATTGACAGAAAAGCACAGAATTTTTGACATTTTTGCAGATTTATTAAAAAAGAAAAACTGAAATATCACATGGTCATAAGTATTCAGACCCTTTGCTGTCCATTTCTTCTGATCATCCCTGAGATGTTTCTACACCTTCATTTGAGTCCAGCTGTGTTTGATTATACTGATTGGATGTGATTAGGAAAGCCACACACCTGTCTATATAAGACCCTACAGCTCACAGTGCATGTCAGAGCAAATGAGAATCATGAGGTCAAAGGAACTGCCTGAAGAGCTCAGAGA